TTCCTTCCTTCCTTCCTTCCTTCCTTCCTTCCTTCCTTCCTTCCTTCCTTTCTTTCTTTCTTTCTTTCTCTCTCCTTCTTTCCTTCAGTTCTTAATTGAAGAAGAGTGCATATTGCTTATGGCAGGCATTGGATGAAGTGTGATGTGGTTAAGCTTAGGTAATCTTTAAACCTTTTGTTGCCAATAACATTTCACTTCCAAATTTATATGAATGAAATATCGTACGACACGGAAGGATTTTAATTAAAAATGCCTAATATGAGAAACAAAGCCCTATCATTCCTCTGTATCATTCATACTTTGCTGTCTGTAAGTCAGATATTTGGCATCAAGTGTTCTATATTAAACTTTCAATATATATATATTTACAAGAGATTTACCTAGTAAATGTTGTGAAGGTGACCATTTCCCAACTTTTTTGACTTCAGAATTGTTTCTATCCAGAACCGAATCTGAAATATACCGGCATGGAGAAGCAGAATCTCACAGTGCTGACTGAATTCATTTTGAAAGGTATTACCGACCTTCCAGAGCTGCAGGCTCCACTATTTGGGATGCTCTTCCTTATCTATTTGATCTCAGCAGTGGGCAATTTGGGCATCATCATTCTCACCAACTTGGACTCCAGGTTGCAAACACCCATGTACTTTTTTCTCAGACATTTGGCTTTCACTGATCTTGGATATTCTACAGCCATAGGACCCAAAATGTTAGCGGATTTTGCTGCAGAGGGTAATTCGGTCTCCTATTATCTTTGTGCTACACAGCTAGCTTGCTTTCTTCTTTTTATTACTTGTGAACTTTTTGTTCTCTCTGCCATGTCTTATGATCGTTACGTGGCTATATGTAACCCTTTGCTCTACACTATCATCATGTCACAAAGAATATGTTGGGTACTTGTGGCAATCCCATATATCTACAGTGTGTTTGTATCTCTAATAGTCACCATAAGGATATTCACTTTATCCTTTTGTGGCTACAATGTAATCAATCATTTTTTCTGTGATTGTATCCCATTAATATCTTTGCTGTGTTCAAGCACACATGAAGTTGAACTGATAATTAGGTTCTTTGCAACTTTTGATTTGATTTCCTCTCTTCTGGTTGTCCTAGTATCTTACCTGCTAATTCTCACAGCCATTCTGAGGATGAAGTCTGCTGAGGGCCGACGCAAGGCTTTCTCTACCTGTGGGTCCCACCTGACTGTGGTCATTGTCTTCTATGGGACTTTGATATTTATGTATGTGCAGCCCAAGTCCAGTAAATCATTTGAGACTGATAAAGTATCTTCCATATTTTACACTCTTGTTATCCCGATGCTGAATCCCTTGATCTATAGCTTAAGGAATAAAGATGTAAAAGATGCCATAGAAAGAACCTGGAAAAAAACAGTTGCCATTTTTTCTTAAAAGTTGCATATGGGGGTAGGGGTGGGGGTGGGAGGGTGGAGACATGGCTAAGCAGTGAACAGCACTGATTGCTCTCTCAGAGACCCAGGTTCAATTCTCAGCACCCACATGGCAGTTCACAACTGTCTATAACTCCAGAATCTGAGAGCCTCAGACAGAAATACATACAGGCAAAGCACCAATGCACATAAAATAAAAGTAAAATAATTTTAAAATGTTTCATACAATAATAGTCATGAAAATCTGCTTTGAATGTAAACCTATTTTGTTTTTGCATAGCAAATAAGAATAAGCTCCATATATATTTCATCCACTTAAATATCTGATAGTAATCTAACTGTATTATAACTATATGAATAAAGAAAGAAAAAAGTTCTTGTTTTTCCTCAGGGGAAAGGAATAATTACAATACTAGGACTTGAGTACTATCTATAGAGAGAAGTATTGGGTGGACATGAAGGTTAGTTAATCACAACTATATGTTACTGAGTCCTAAGATGCCTGGGAAAACCAAAGCCCAAGAATTGTTTGTGGCTTTTATAAACATTGCACTGAAATATGCAAGGTCCATTATGTGTTTATGCATCTGTGTTTCTGCTTTATGATTTCGGTTTTAGACTACAATGTGGGTTGTCTTAAAAACCAAATTTTGTTCCATTGTGTAAATGTACCACAATTTTTGTATCTATTCCTCAGTTGAGGGAGATATGGGTTATTTCCAGATTCTGACTACTACAAATAAAGCTGCTATGAACATGGTTAAGCAAATGTCCTTGTTGTTCACTTAAGCATATTCCAAATTGTCTGAGAAAGCACCAGATTAATTTCCAAAGTGGTTGTTCAAAGTTTATATTCCCACAAAATGGAGGAGGGTTCCCCTTTCTCCACATCCTTTCTAGCATGTATGGTCACTTGAGTTTTAATCTTAGCCATCTGATGAATGTAAGGTGAAATCTCAGGGTCTTTTTGATTTCCATTTCTCTGAAGACTAAGGACTTTGAGCATTTCTTTAAGTGTTTCTCTTCCTTTTTAGCTCTGTACCCCATATTTTAATTGGATTACTTGGTTTGTTGGTGTTTAAAATTTTCAGTTCTTTATATATTTTGGATATTAGCCCTCTGTCAAATACAGGGTTGGTGAAGATCCTTTCCCCATAGGTTGTCATTTTTTTTTCTGATTACACTGTCCTTTTCTTTACAGAAGCTTTTCAATTTTGTGAGGTCCCATTTATTGATTCTTGATCTTAGACCCTGTGATGTTGGTGTTACACAGTGGAATACTCCTCACCAATTAAAAACAAGGAAATCATGTTGCAGGCAAATGTTGGGAACTAGAAAAGATCATCTGGAGTGAGGTAACCCAGAAGCATAAAGACACACATGGTATATACTCCCTTATAAGTAGATATCAGACATATAATATAGGATAATCATACAAAAATCTGAACACCTGAAGAAGCTAAGCAAGAAGGAGGACCCTGGGTAAAATGATCAGCCCACACTCAGAAAGACAGAAGGGATAGACATCAGAAGAAGGGGAAAACAGGGAACAGGAAAGTAGCCTACCACAGAGGATCCTGAAAGACTCTACCCAACAGTGTATCAAAACAGATGCTGAGACTCATAGCCAAACTTTGGGCAGAGTGTAGGGAATCTTATGAGAGAAGACCTTTCTATATTATGAGATAGAAAGACCTGGAGAGGACAGGAGCTCCATGAATAGAGCAACAAAACAAAAAAAAAATGTGGGCACATGGGTCTTTTCTGAGACTGTTATTCCAACCAAGGACCATACATGGAGATAACCTAAGACCCCTGCACAGATGTAGCCCGTGGCAGCTAGTCTCCAAGTGGTTTCCCTAGTAATGGGAACAGGGACTATCTCTGACATGAACTCAGTGGCTGCCTCTTTGATTACTTCCCCTTGAGCAGGGAGCAGCCTTACCAGGCCACAGAGGAAGACAATGCAGCCAGGCCTGATGAGACTTGATAGACTAGGGTCTGATGGAAGGGAAAGAGAGGAGGGAGAGAGGGGGAATTGAGATAGTAGATGGTTAGAGTATAAATTTGTTGTCTTCTGTACACCTGGCATCAGTCATATCACTCTCTCTATACTAATACAAACTCTTACACAATTTTTAATATTTAAAATTTGGTATTTTGTTTTTATTGTGGTCTTATTGATCCCATTTATTTAGTAAGCCATCATTCAGTCAATAAAATTATTTTTGCCACATACATTGGAAAAACTATTTATTGCAATTGTAAAAGCACATAAGTTTTAACTGTTCTTATTCTTTAGAATTAAATATGTGTATACAAAGAAATACAGTCATGTGTATATCTCACTCTCTTCCTTATTCTCTACCCAAATTTGCATATTTCATATCTTGTTTTAAGTTCCTATTTTGAGATTATATGATTGCATCATTTCCACCTTCCTTTTTCCAATTCCAAATGTTCTTATATATGCTGTCTTCCTCTCTTTAAAGTATATAACTTTTAAAAAATTAATTTTTGGTATTTGTATCTTTATAAACCACACTAAGTAAAATTAATGTTCCCCATAAATTAATGGGAGAGGAGTGATCCACTGGAGCAAGAAATTATTTGTGCTGGGTGTCTCTGGATATTTTTGCAATGAATAGACATTGATAAATTGTTTATTTGATAAATTTTTATTTATCAAATAGAAATTGATAAATTCAGAAAAGTTATCGAGATAAAAGTATCATAAAAAAATAGTAGTTTCTTACATAACAATGATATTTCCTTTTAAATAGATCTGAAGAAAATCAATTCCATTTACCATTACTGTAAGAACCAATATACCTAAGAAAAATTAATGGAAATTCATAATAATGGAAAAATCTTTACAATAAAAAATCAAAACATTTTTATAAGAAAACAAAGTGGCTTAAAAATCAAACTATGTACTGTACTGAAAAAAAAATCTTACATGGTCCAGGAAGGTAGCTATGCTTACTACTACATCATCAATACTTTTTAGCTGACCTGTGCACATCTTGTCTGTTGGACCGGGACCTGAGGACCTGGAAGAAGGGGGCTACCTACGTCTAATGATGTAGACAACTTTATTCCAGTTTCAGTGAAGTTTTATTCACAAATGTAATAAAGAAAGCAATGATATAAGGAAGGTTGTTTGAGTTCAGAAGAACATGATCAGAAAAACATGTAAATAAATGTCAGTAAACACATACTAAATATTAATGGAGCAGCCCTTTTCCAGACATTCGTTATGACAGACCAGTTCTAACACAATAGTTTGGTAGGCACTGTAGATTATATCTTGGAAAGCACAAAAAAAAAAAAAGGCAGAAGTGTATTCCCAGATTCAAGGTGTACTGAGTACAGTACTTGGCATATCTTTCACCACATTGTTTTCTGTAGTTATGTTCTGACATCCAAAAGGATTATATCTGTCTTATAAATTGAATATAAATGTTTGTCACAATACTATGTCTAAGAACAATCCAGGAAACAGAATCTGCACCTGAGGTAAAAGACCCTCTGTCTTTTTCCTAAAGCTTCTCTCAGATTTCCCCAGGGTACTGTTCTCATGTGTATTTGTTTGACCAAGTTCCAACAAACCCCTCAGGTTGTAACAGTGATCAGCTAATTCAATGTCATCCTCAAATAAAAGTACCTTATTCACAGAAACAGCAAAACCAAACAAGAAACAAATACAAAAACAAGCAAACAAACAAACAAATAGCTTTTGGACCATATAATAATGAAACATTGCAAAAGCCACCTTTAGTACAAAGGCTAAATAAAACTCATTAAATTCCCTGAAACCATAAAATACTACAAATGTGTAATAATAAAGGCATAAAGCAAGACAGAAGAGGATGGAGAGCCTAAAATTCTACCCATTCACCTGCTGTAACTACAGCAGTCTATGAAAAAATGCACTCACTGAATTACAACCTAGAATGACAGTTGGAAATAAATTGAAATATATTTATAAAAATCCTCTTCAGAAAATAAAATGTCTAATTTTATGTAAATAAAAGTAGACAACCATCTCTTACTAACTCTGAAAGAGAACAGAATAGCTTAAGACTCACACAGAATATCTCAAACTATGAAATGCCTAGAGCAGTATGTGAAAAATAATATAGAACTATAAAATAAAAGCAAGCGCAAAAACTTTTAAATGTAAAACCTTAAGCACAAATATATAAATGAATTTAAATAGAACTGTAAAGCTCAAAATAATTAACAGAAAATATCAGAATGCAATGTGAATCTAGAGTAGTGGTTCTCAAAATTCGCCTTGCTGGGAACTTTCAATACAGTTGCTCATGTTGTGGTGACCCACCAAGCATAAAATTATTTTCATTGTTACTTTACAACTGTAATTTTTGTACTGTTATAAGCCATAACTTAAATATCAGTGTTCAACAATATTCTTAGACAACTCCTGTGGAAGGGTCAATGCACCTCAAAGGGGTCATTAGCTACAGCTGAGAACTGCTGATCTATAGTGGGGGATGAAATATTTGCCACCTATAGAATTAGAAACTGGTGTAGTCTATAAGGAAAAAAGGAACTCCGAAAGGCAGTAGTAGAAAGAAACCATTTTGTTAATGGATGGTAAATCTAGACAGAAATTTTCTTAAATGAAACACATAAATTTAGAAAAGATTCATTTTTAAAAGTACAATAGCAATCAATATACAAACTACAATATTACTTCCATATATATATTTATTTGTTTAAATTAATTTACTTGGGGTAAGTGTGTGAGTGTTTGTGTGCCCGCGCACACACAGCGCCTACCAGAGGTGCACATAGACTCCAGAAGAAAGGGGGATATCCAAATATCCGAGATATCTTAGAACTAGAGTCACAGGCTCTTGTCAGCCATGATGTGGGTTCTGGACACTGTACTCAGGTCCTCTGGAGAGGCAGCACTGAACTTTTTATTTTTATTTTATGGTTGCTTTATTTACCTTGGGCTGGGCAGGGCAGATA